CATACATTATTGCTGTATCTTTTGATAGCTTTGAACCAGGAAATGAAATCCAAGGTAAATAGTCTGGATGACATTACATCTTTATTTGCGTCTCCAAGAATTACCAGTCTTCAACAGAATTCCCCCCATTTCCCTCACAGTGTAACTAAAGTGTATTTGTTTTTTCATTCCCTTTTGTCTCTACCTAAGATACTCCTTTCCTCCTTTTTGGAATGATTCTTTTTTAAAATGTGCTTTCTATATGTGTACAAAACACATTGACAACATGTTTTCAATTGCTATAATTGAAAATTATATCAATTAAAATAATTGAAAATAATTTTTCAATATTAAAACAAAGTATTTTTTCCTTTTTTCCATCTAATAAATATGACTTAACTTCATACTATAGTTGTTGTGACAAAATCAAAATCAAATAAGACAACTGGCCAAACTGGACTGCATTATTTATTGCTCTTTAACTTCATATTTGCTGTTATGTCTGGTCTCTGCAATACAAAGGGATCCCATTTATTAGATCGTCACATGCTGTCATCTTACTGGAAACTGAAAATTCAGGGTGCAGTATATGATGACTCAGAGTGGGATATTTTGAGTCATGCTTATAAGAGCTGCATCCCAGATTTTATCAAATTGCAGGAGGTGGAGTTACTGTGGCTTAAACCACCTTTTAATCTCAGTAATCCTGATTTGCTCTCTGGATGGAAAAACATTGACAACCTTGTTTCTCCACGCTGTCTGTGATGCCGTGTCCTCTTGGTGGTGTGACTCCTTAAGTGACTTGTGTTTTCTTTCTCTAACTTTTTTGCTAGATCAAGCGTGGGAGTGGAAGCGGGTTAAAATCTGTCAGATTTCCACTATTATATCTCAGAAGCTGAAAAAGAGCATTACTCACTAAGTAGCTACTGCCCAGCTGTGCTTCTGTTTTACCTGTAGCTTCTCTTTTACCAGCAGCTTTGTTGTGCTTCCATGGAGAGTGATATGTAGGAAAAAGAATGGAGAAGCATTGCTGCCTGTTGTAACTGCCATTCACGGAAAAACGTGTGAATAACTCCTAAAACGTGTGAATAAATCCTTCAAGAATAGAAGGGCTGTCAGATTACTACACTGATAGTTCTTTTAAAAACAGTATTGTCAGCAGAATGATGAGTGGATTTAAATATACGGAGGCTGATTCTGCCAGGTTATACGGGGTTTACAGTGACATCAACACTGAACCTCAGATGCTACTAACCTTGCCTTTTATTTTCTCTGTGTCTAACCATGCTTTTCTTTCTCTAGCCCCCCTTTTCTGTTGCTACAGATTACAAGCAGCCAGGGCCTGTTTTCAGGGAGCTTCATGGTGTTGCCTCTCCATGTAACGTATTCCTGTGTTCAGTTGTGACACACCACATACCTTCACTCTTAGGGTCACATCTGTGCTTGGTTTACCGCTGCGTGGTGGCTGTCATCCCTCCTGTGAGACCCTTCTTCTGTGAGACCTGGAAGAAATTAGTTAACCAAAGCTGAAGGCTGATAGCAAATTGGAAGGCTGACAGTGCAGGTGTTCTTACATTGTCGAGGCAGGGCTGGTCTCTGCCTTGACTTCTGTGTCATTTCCAGTTAATTTTGTCCTCTATCTGCTTATCTTTATTTTTAGTGACTGCACATACTTTTGGGCAGAAACCATGGTTCTAACTGTATTTGCGGGAGTACCTACTATTGGCATTACTTGAGCAAATTTATAATACATTATAACAATTTTGATTATGCCTCTTCACATTTAATTTCAATTTGGATATATACAAAACAGGAAACTGTGCTCTTCCATGATTTCCTTCATTAACAAACTTTGGGTTGAGTTGATAATTACTGATTTTTTTTTTTTTATATTTAATCTAGACCATGAGGGCCAAATTGCTTTTTTTCCTTTTTCCTGTTGTAACGCATCAAAAAGAAAAAGGTTGTGCACTTCAAACTTAGCCAGAAGTTGAGCCGTTCTTCTGAAACTGAAGAAGAAAAAGCGCAATTCTCTTTCTCACATAGCTATTTTGACTGAAAACCTAATTAGACAGAAAAAATAAATAAGCTTTTAGTCACTACAGCCATCAGGCAGTATTCTGAGCATGCGTAGGGTAGCAAATCAGATTAATGAGAAAATTCCAGTAATATGGTAGAGCAGAGTTACTTTTAAAATTGTCAGTAAATCATATATTTAATTTTAATTTACAAATATATTTGATTACATGCAAACACTCTCCATGCTTTTTTCTTTTCTTTGTTGTCATTCTCTTGATTATTTATAAGAACTGTAGTAAAGTACAGCTTTTTGTTTAAGTTATAAAAGGTTTTAAATCATTTCTGTACATGCAATCTTGTGCTTTGGAAATTTATTGTTAAATATTTAAGTGATTTCAACTTACATTTTTCAAAATGTCTGTTTTACAGTGACTTTAGAAGCCCTTAAAGAGGCCAGCTTTAAAGGATTTCATCTACAAGCTCGAGAAGTGGAAGGAGATGTTCCTGTTGGTACTTTTAAAATTACAGATCAAAACACAAAAGGCTTGGATTGTCATAACGTGACGGTACATGTTCACTCCTTGGTGTACTTATTGAAGCTTGGCTTCCTTTTAAATACATTAATCAATATTGATTAAAAAACGACCATTTTCTATGGCAAATTATTTCATCAACAGCGCTTAAAAATTTAGACTTTCTCAAGTAATACAGGTATCTTCTGGATGAGATATAAATCAAATGCAAAAGTCACCTGGCACGTTTTACAAGGATATCAGTGTTAATTGTAGCATAGTTCCCCTAATAATATAGGCAAGTACAGACACAAAAAATTGACTTTCCTGTCTTATATAATTACATTTATTTCTTTTTAATTGCAGAATTCAGCTGTAAGTCATGCAAATTCAGATGCGAAACAGAAAGTTACAACAACGTGGATTGCACCACATGATATTAGAGATCTTCAGTTTATGTAAATAATTGTTTTCTTTTTTTGCCTTGAAAATTTATTTCTGTAGTAAATTTTGTCGTGATTTTCTTTGATCTATGTTGTTCTTTCATTATAAGAGCAACTTCTGATGTTTCTGCGTTGTCACAGTCATGTTTTGTTTCATAGCCTCGGCATACATTTCCATTGTATCCATAAAATAGCATGGTTTCCATTTCAAGGCATACTTATATAAAGCAAGAAAGTCAGCCCTGTCCTATAGACCCTAATACGTGTAAATAATTCTATTAAGCACAGTGTTACTAGTGGATCTTAGCTGAGGAACTATTTTTTACACTGTGACGTCTTTATGTACAGGAGCAATAATATGAATTTAAATACTGCCCTGAACAAGTGAAATTCATATTGTTATATTGTTACTCTTTACCACTTTTTCATTTTGAACAGAGGAAGAATAACAGTTTGAGGTAGAAACCCTTGAAAGAAAAATTGAAACATCGGTTTATTCATTTTTGACAATATTACCCTAAATTGTCTTCAGTATACTTCTTTCATGACTTTTGGAGGATATGACCTTTAAACTAACTGAGGAAGAAAACAGCAGAAGACAGGATTATGCAATGTTTTGTATTGCTTTGCAAGCTTCAACTCTGCAAGAAAAAGTAACATTTGGTCTAACAAAATGCATATAATTGGAAAAAATCTAAATATTTGATAGCTTAATATTGTCTGAAGTGTAGATTTATGATAGGGGACACTTTAGCCTTGCTTTATTAAATATTGAGGAATGTAAAAAGGAGCAAAAGAACACAAATTAAAATCACAGTCACTTCCACTCCTTAATACCATGAAAATCAGTTTGCCACCGTAGATGAGAATGTCTGAACGAGAAAGAGGTCTGACAAACTTTATGGGTATTTGGGCTGATAATCCCCACTGGAGTAAATGCTTCTTCGCACAATTTCTATTCCTTTTCTTTTCTTTCTCGGAATCTATTTTGCTTATCCTTAAAATCATGTTGGATGATAATACAGGAACTGCAAAATAAACGTGTTCTGGAGAATAGTGACATTCCTTTCAATCTTGTCCTGTGTGACTCTCTAAAGATCATCAAAACAGAGTGGACTTTCTTGGCTGAGGGGAAAAAAATGCGAGTTTATTGGATTTTATATTGCAATATTTTGATAGAAGAAATACATAATGATTATTTTATTTTCTCTCTAGCGCAACTGTTGTTCAAGATCTAGAGAAATTTTGGGTCGGAGTTCAAAGCAAAACCCTCACACCTACACATTCTGAGTCAGTTAATGGGACAGGAAGAAGTAAGAGGAAGGTATGTTTTGAGTACATTTGCATATTCTAAATTAATATGGTAAATTACAAAATATCAGACTTGATATAAGGCATACGTTCATTGTCATATATTCATTAACTAAGCTTGACAAAATCAGCAAATACTTTGGGCGTTTTAATTAAACTGCCTAATCCTCTTACTACAGAGTGAAAAAAATAAGATATTATTTCCCTCTACAGAGATAAAGAAAGTAATAATCTCATTATCAAAACAATCCATAGAACAGATGAAAGAAAAAAGGAAATTGGTGATAAGGAGGACTCTGTTTTACTTCTGGTGTACTCTACTGTACTTTACTGTTCTCCCAGTCACTGGGAAAGATATATGTAAGATATTCTCAGAAATGAAAATATATTTTTTTTGCCAAGAATTGCTCATATTAAACACCTTAAACAAGACAGACAGATAAAGTAAAGAAGTTCCTTCAAATCTTCAGTATTGGTTCTCCACTGGAGCAGCAGTGATTTATGTCATCTAGTGATCTAACCCAGAGTGAACATCTTTTTCTTGTCACCATATATGTTCCCTATTTCCAATAAAATGATTAGGCTGACACAAGCTTTTTATAGAGAAAATAGTTTATAACTGTTTCTTCATTGTTTTCACAGATTATGATAGAAATAGAATGTGCCAAGGTAAGACCCATGTATCTGCAATTTCCCGTATTTCAATTATCTGTTTTAGAATTCCTATCCAGCTGGTCCAGTTGTTTCACGATTAGAGCATGAAGGTCAAATCTTTCCATTGAGTTCTTTCCAGCAGACATCCTGTTTATGCTTACATTCAAAACTGAATACAAAAATATATTTTTATTTTTAAAGAGATGCATCAGTTTCGAGATCAGTTTATTACAAAGTGAAAGGTATTGTAGGCAATTAGACACTTGATTTCTTCACTCACACCATGAATGTAAATTCAATTTAGTTTTTTCTTTAGAATAATGTGATATTCATACACGCAGCCAATAAACAGTAACTGGAATCTATCTTTCTTACAGCGTGGAGGGACTTACACACCACAAAGTGGATGCGTCCTAGTAAGTATTCTTCTGTAAAGACATTGATTTATTGCTAATTGCCCAAAATGTCAAAAGCTGCTTCTAGTCACATCTTTATCTCTCTTGTTGCTCAATTTATTTTTCTTGTTGACGATTTGCCTTTAGGTGAATAAAATCCCCTAACTTGTCAGTCGTCTTATCATTTCCTCCTCCAGTTTCTCTCTAGAAAAGTTAGAATAATTTTTTAATTCAAATTTTCATTTGCTTACCTTCACTTTTTAGCCACAGTGCTTGCTTACACATCTTTTCAAGATCACTTATTTCAACAGCTCTGAAACCTTGCCTTTTGCAAATCATGATCTATATAAAAAAAATTAACTATTTGATTTTTCCCTAAAAACTGTTGTTTCAGCTCAATGAAAAAAAACTCTCTTTCTTTTTTCCTTCCTCCCAGCAAATATACACTACATTTCATAATTTCTAGAGATTATGTAGTCATATCGGTAAAGGCTCTGGTTTTCATCTGAATGTGGCTTAATTTGGCGCTACTTAGTGATCTTGCCAGTGTAGACCTGCTGCTCAGTTGTGGACATGAAGTATATAAGGCCAGATGTTCAGCCAGGTTAAGGTGGCGTAGTTCTACTACCAGCCAGAGCAGTTTGTATACTTATGATTATTTGGTTTTAAAAATCTCTGAAGTAATTTTAGTAGTGTCAGCTGGTGGAATGAAGTCACAGAAAACTGCTTTGTGTATTCTTTTTTCCCACCAAGTAGGTCTTTCCATCTTGAAAGAATCATTTATATAAAAATCATTTTTCTGCAAAATCACACACACACACACACACACACACACACACACACACACACACACACACACAACCGTTTAGGGTGGAAGGGCCCTCTGGAGCTCATCTGAATATCTCCAGGGAAGGAGACTCCACCACCTCTCTGGGCAACCTGTTCCAGTGCTCTGTCACCCCCACAGTGAAGAAGTTTTTCCTCAGGTTTAGATGGAAATTCCTGTGGTTCAGTTTGTGCCCGTTACGTCTTGTCCTGTCACTTGGCACCACGGACAAGAGGCTCCATACAAAGGCTCCATGCAAAATTAGTATTTGCCACAGTATAGTGGAATAATTTTCCACAGCATACATTATCATTTATAAGATTTTTCACCTCTTACTTTGCACATACTGTTCGTTTCATTAGTCCCCTTGCCATCTCTTCTGAAGGAATACTGAGAATCCAAAATGGAGAATTTACACAAAATAAAAGCATTCTGATTTCTGTACAGGTTGGACCCTCCGGTTCCTCTCGGAACAGCTATACAAGTGGTCAGGTAAGAATGCTAACTTCCAGCATTTGTAAATTTTCCTTTAGTAAACTTGAACAACTAAAATTCTATAGGTATAGAGTACTGAAGTGATTCAGCACAGTACTGAAATAATGTCTCTGCTAGTTAACACAGAATAAGTTAAATTAAGAATATTATTATAAGAATAAATTAAATAGTTTAGAGACATTTTGCATAATTAAATTGAATCCGTACTTCTTATTAAGTCATTTTTAAAGTATTTTCCTTATTTTATATGTTTGAATAACCAAAATAAAAAAACCAATTCACCTGTGTTTCACTATCTTCTCTACATACAGTTGCAAAATTTCTTAGAATTTCGTCAGACTCTTGGATATTCACGTATATATGAAAACACCAGTCTGTTGTCTGTATTATTTTTAACACTAGATTATTCTTATAGTTGAATATTTGGTGATATCATTGTCTAGGTAGCCTTTTAAAACTTCTTCAGTAAGTATGTCTGCACTCTTATGACTGCTTGCACTTCTTTAATCACAAAAATACATACTTCATTTGGAATAATAATTTTTAATTAATTTTCTTCACTACCATTATGTGCCTATTTGTACTTGAACTTTCAGATGCTTAGTGATGTATCTCCAGTTTCCTGAACTAAGCTTCTCCAAGAATATATTTATTACTACTTTTGAGTCAGTATATTTATTAATGAATTATCTGGTAATATTCCATTTGTTTCATATTCACTACCTCTAAGTGAAATTACCAGGCTTTGATAAATATCAATTATTTTGATATATATAGTAACGACTGATTTTTTTCCTCATCATATTTCTTTCATACATAATAGCTTTTTCTGAGGGTTGAGTATGTCATTTTGTCATGTAACTACAGTTAAATCCATAATTTTTTTCTAAAATATGGACCATTTAGTACACAACTTGTAGATTTTGAAAGGCTACATGACCAAGGACAAAATGCTATGAAATCTAGATGATGACTAATGTTTCCTTCTACAATAAAATTCATCCAGCCAGTGACTTGGTAATCTCTGTTTTCTTCGCCCTTTTCCTTTTTTTTTTTTTTCTTTTTACATGGAAATAATTGACTATTTTCTGTTTCAGAGTGGAGTAGTCTACTCAATAAGCAAGAGCGGATGTGTCCCAGTAAGCACTTTTCTCACGTTTACTTTTTTTCCCTCAATATAGCTATTTTCATATTAGTCCTTAGCCTTCAGTTACATTATTTCTACCGGTGTTCAGCTAGGAATTTCTGTTTTGAATTGAAAATAGTGGAGAGAGAGCTAGGAGAAAATGAATATGAAAGTTTATACAATGATTTGAAGCCGTTGACAAACATGTATGAAACAGATGAGAAATGTATGTAGAAATATGTATGTAGGATGTAGAAACAGAGAGTATAGAATCGTGAAAATAGGACTAGAAAGGTAACCTGTTACAGGTATATTAGAGTCATTATACAGGTTGTCTTTTCTCCCTCCTGCCCAAGTCAAGACCAGTGAATTGGTCTGTATGTTCTAAATTGTTCCTCCTGTCAGAATTCATCATCCACATATCGACAGTGAATCAGACCACTTCAGTTTTTTATTCTTTGCATGTAACAGGAATACTTGCAAAGTTATAAATCCTAGATGGGTCAATCTAGTGGTTCAGAAATTTCGGTCAAAGGTACAGAGCACTCTAGTGAGGTGCGGAGTAGATCAAAATCTTCTCAGATGAGGCATTTTTATCAAAATGATGACCAATCATATTGACGAAAATATTTGCAAATTTTTGTCAAATGTATGTAATTATTTTGGTTTCCTGACAGCATTTACAAGATAAGATTTATTTTTCAATTCAAAGTTATTTTGTTTAAAGATTTTTCTCAATATAAAAAATGAGAAAACAACTTAAAAGGTAACTGAAACACTGTTTCGTCAACTGTTTTTATGTCGATTACATATTGACAAGTACAACAAAAATGAGCTAGTCATGTAGTTCTAACGTTGTGCCTAAGCACCCACTGTTGCCACTTCAAACTAGAAAAATTGAGACTATTCAGTACATATAAGAACAGTGTTTTTGAAAATGTGAAACTTTCATATCATCAGTACTTCTAAAATATAAAACGTATCCGAGTGTGAGTCAAGTCTTTGTGCAGAGCAACAAAATTACAGTTTTGTGGGGAAACTATTGATTGTGTTACTAATAATATATGAGATTTACTTCAAAATAGGAACTAGTACTATCTAGGCTAGACTTTCATATTTTATATTTGATTGACTTTGAATTAGAAAAGAGTTAATTTTTGTTTCTTTTCAGTTTCAGCTTCCTAAATTTTGCAAACTTGTATGTACACATTACACATATTTGAGCTACAAGCATTATATTAAAACTTTATAATGTATTTCTGTTAAAATAATTTCTTGACGGTGTCTGTCTTAAAACATTTCTGGAGTACTACTGGAAAATCATTAATATAGGAAGTGTTGGTGCCCCTAGGTGGATGTTCACACAGTAATAGTGGAGAGTACAATAATCTTTTCTTCTGTTCCTTACATATTCCACATCAGGATCAGTCAGAATTGAGGTTATCTGATGTTTGCCTTTTCTTCCTAAACTATTATAGTAGAGAAGTAACTAGTTTCTTTTTCTTCTTAGGGAGGGACTGCTGATGCATACAGCAGACATGCCTGCAAAGATGTAAGCTGTTTGTTTATATATTTAGTTACTGATTATCTGCTATTATGCTTCTGAACGCAGCACGTTATTGCAAATTGCATTAGACTCACTTCTGCAGTGAGCTAGATTTTTCTTCGTAAGTATATTAAGGAAGATGGTGGCAGCCTGAGGTATTATTCTGAAATTAATCACCAGGATTGAAAACATACTGTGTAGTCACTGCCCAAGAGTGTAATCATTTATATTATAGGAGCTACTCATCAGCTGTTATAAAAACTTAATTTGTGAGCATAGCAAAACATCAAAATCCTTACTCGCTACTTAATGCTTTTTATCTGCTAGAGAAATTCTCTCGAGTGTTGCATAATACATCCTATAAAATTATCTGGCTTTTTGACAACATTTATTTGTGTATTAATCTAATAATTCTGTAACTAATAGAGAAATTTCTATTCTCAACTTCATTTTTTACCTTTTCACAGAAAGCAGATTTATTTTTAAATCTAACTTGAATTATTTTCCATTTTAAACAAACATCAAAACAAGTAAAAAATCTATCAGAAAGATAACACATACAGCAACTGAAACCTTGACCAAGAAAACCACTTAAACATATGAGTAATTTTAAATAGATAACTAGTTATATTAATTTATGAATGTTAAATATATTGTATCTTAGTTTAGTATGTAAATGTAAATTTTATTTGTGGTAGAGCGATATTAATATTATGACCAAGGTAGAATGTAGGAAAACTTTTGCTTCAGTTATCTTGAAGTAAATTCAGAATTCTTTAGTATTGCCATAGAATTATTTGAGTGTAATTGAAATTGGAGCTTGACTTGATGTGTACGTTTGTTAAGGCTAAAAGTGATGACTTCTAGATATCATTAATTCCCTTTTGTTTTATTTATGGTTTGCTTTCAGAGTGCATCCTCATATAGACCTGGTCTTACCTATGGCCAGGTGAGTATATATTTTCAAGTGTATTTTCAGTTTTATCTTAATAAACTACTCAGAAATGAAGCAGTTACACCCAACTTTTACCATACCATAAATTATTCATGAGAGGGGATAAGGGAGAACTGTCTTTGAATCGTTGACTAATAATCAGCTGTGGAAATTACTTCAACAGATGAGTAATGTGTTCATAGTATGTTGTAATACCATCTTTATTAGAAATTCTTCACTTCTGTTTTATACAGAAACTCCATTACATTTATTCTCTAAAACAACATCAGTTATTTTTCTTATGGTCTTTGCTAGTTACTACAAATTTGAAGTATTTTTTGTGGCTCTTCCCATGTAACTGTATGTGCGTGTTCATGAAATGGGAAACTTGGCTGCAAAATAATCTCCAATGAAACATTTCTATTCTTAGAGCAGGTTCCATTTATTCCAGCTTATGTTTCAACAGGAGGGGTTTTTGATTGTTTTTTCTGTTGTTTGTCTTTTGATGAAGGTAGAGGAGGTTAAATTTCTTCTAGCAACAGATTATTATAAACAAATTTTCAGTTTAATCTGTTACTTGAAATATTTGCAAATTTCATGCAATACTTTGTAAAACTATCAGGATAATAGGGATTACTAGAAAAAACAAATGAAATCAATTGATTTATGCCTCTTCCTAGTTTGGCACATTTATTTTTATTGTTCATTTATTAATTGTGTATACATTAATATTTTTCTTCAGAGTGTTATTTTGCTTGGTACTCCAGAGAGATGTTATTAGCTATAAACATTCTTATGGAAAGTAGCGGTATAGTTAATTTCGCAGACACTTTCCTAAGCAAAAAATTGGTTCCTGTATTCTTTGCAGTCTGTCCCTGCAAGCAGTTCAGATTCCAGTAAGAAGGTAAGCACTCCTTTTCTTTTTAATTCAAAGGGAAAAAAAATCTTACAGATGTAACTTGGCATAACTCCTTTTATTTCAGTGGTACTATGGTACTCTTTTATCAGCTAAGACTTTTCAAAGTTTTAGTTCAGATTGATTCATATGATTTGAATAGGATTAATTATTATATGAATTATACTAATTAGCTGTGCTATGCTCACTTGTGTTGATGGTTGAATTCACTGTATATAAAGGGATTACATGTCACACGTCACATGGAGATTTTTTTCAAGATACTAGAATCCTAATTAGGACTTTTAAAAATATAAATTATTTAATTATTAAGATGGCACCAGAGGATAAGTGTGACCCAAGACAAGTGAAATCAATAAACTTCACATTGCCATTGAATTTGACTCATCATATTTATGGTTGCCAGAACAGAGAGGGATAATATTATGGCATGTTTAGTAAACACAATGCAATCATTCATGTCCTCACAATAGGTTTTCCATTTTAATTTCCTATTCCTTTAAGAATTGGCTGTATAATGATATGTTTTTAATGACTCATTTTTAAAAAACATAAAACTCCTCCCTGCTTTATATCAGAATTCTTTATTTGCGGTAAAACCAGCTCTCCTCTTAATGTTTACACTATTGGAGGTATGAACTATTTTCACTTTAAACAAATAAAAGCTTCTAATCTGAAAAATAACATTAAAAATCTGAACAGAAGTTACTACAATTGCATTTGGTTTCACTTTTTAATGACCTATATATTAAACCTTCCTTTAGTGTAATACTGAATAGAGAAAAGGAATTGATTATGGGCTTGGGATGGGAGATCCAAAAGGATACATAGTATGGGCCAGTGGATACAGTACCTTACAGGAAATCCTGCTCCTGTCTCTACAGTTGAGTTGTCGTGCAGCTGGGAACAAGTCTTTTATCTAATTATACTCTTGTGTAAACCATTTTTACCTATATAAGTTCTTCTTTGCTCTGTAACATACAATAAGAACTGTTTATAAAAATAGTATTTTTAAAAAGCGATCATCAGCATTATCAACATTTGTGAATTCAGAATTCTTCATTTTTCTGACACATTTAAATATTCAGATAACCTCTAGGATGAGTAAACAGCTTGTATCTGATTTCTCTACAGGTGGTGGTCATTGCTAACAGCAATCCTTTCCCACCTGTGGTAAGCAGCTTTTCTCTAGAACGCTCAGAATTTTGACTCAGGGAGCTTTCAGATAGTTACACGTTTAACTGTCCAGAAGGATTACTGTTGTATGATGACTTCTTGTGGATGGGCAGGCATTATGCTAGTCATGTAATTATCTTCAGAAAAAGTCAATAATGCAATAACTAAAAGTCTCAGCCAGCAACATTGTGTAGAGGCTGTTACTGACTCATGGTTACATGATTGCTTTTAGTAATTGCAGAGAGATTAGATCACCTGCAGATTCCAGATTTAACAATGCATTCACCTGCACTTGTATTTTTAAACTATTAAATTTCCCACAGTGATTGCTTGCTTTGAGCTCATACGGTCTGCTGAAAGTAAGGTTTACATTAAGGTAGTTAAAGTGAGTTTGTATGAAATAACATTTAATATATAAATATTTTTTTTTCCTCATGTCCAATTTCTACTCAAACATATGTGCTGTAGCATTAATGAAGATTAAAATACTTTGTACATTCACTCTGTATTATCCTTTTATATGTTACCTTTTCATAATAAGGAATACTATAGTGGAGACAGGCCTAATAGGGAATGCCCTATATCTGATTGTTTGCTGTGCCCAAAAGATAGGGCTTTTTTTCTGCTGCAGTTTTCTGTTTAAACAAGCCCCTACATAAAATAATTAAACATTTTTTGGTTTCGTTTGCAGCGTCATACCTACCCGCAGGTAAGCATACTTTGTCTTCTGAGTTCTATAATAATAGAGCTGTTACAGGGCCAAACTCTGTGCCTCAGGATGGTGTCTATTACCCTTTTACATTTGCTCCTCATGCCCTAGAATTCAGCAAAATAAATATGACTGGGTCAGGAGTTGAATTTGTGTATCTGATATTCTATCACTAGATGCCCAGTGTAGGTGACAGTGAGACAGGATGATGGCGTGGCTTCATGCAGCACATCTGGAAAAGCTGAGCTGACTGGCAGTGCAAAATGGTATAGCCTCTGCTCTGCAAAAAGCTGTAGCAGAAGGAACGCTAAGCACAGGAAATTGCCTAGTAGAATCAGACTGCTTCCCCAAACCAGCAGAGCTGAGAATATGCTAACGTTTAAGCTGTCTGGGTGTTAGAAATGTGTTACTTAGTACATGACACATGCTACTTGCTCCTTTATTCTCCTAACCAAAGAAGAACAACTTGGTAAATTTGTTCAAATATGTTGCCTTTTAACAAGTCAAATTAAATGGTCTCTGTTTTTTTACAGCTCTTGGGCAGTTCTGCTACTAAGGTCATAATACAGGTAAACATTCTTTCTTTGGTGAACTTCAGTTTTTAACGCAACCCCTATCTCAGGAGAATGAACCGTGATTCATCTCTTTGGGAATCAATCAGTATGGAAATATTAAAATATAGACAAACTACAGACAGGGACTAGGAGTTGCGTTTCTGTGGCTACAGGAAAGATAATGTCTATTTGGTTGCTCATTTAAGATCATTGCTGTTGTTTTCTGCAGTTATAAAACAGGAAAACCTCTGTACCCTAATTTCCTTAGTGCTCTCAAAATTTGCAAAACTTAACCATCTCAATCTGCTCAGGAAGATAGATGAAATTCTAGAACTTGAGCTTCAGTGTTATTCAGTATTAAATCAAATGGGTGTAAATCATAACCTATATACTTAATTTAAACAGTCTCTTTTACGTGGAAATAACTGGTTCCTTGTTATATTTTTGAAACTCTGCTGGTCCCTGCTCATATGAAGCTTTTGTTCTCTGTTGTGTTTATAACATTTCTTCTTGATAATCAAACGCTTGGAAATAGATTACAATCCACTCTTTAAGATTATATTTTTAAATTATGGATATTACTCAGATTTTTTTTCTCAGTTCTTTGCAAGTTTAACATACCTACCACTCTTCACCTTTTAATTTCCTTCCTTTATATGATAGTCCTTCAGACTGCGACAACAAATTTTCAGTTTCCTGCAAGGATCAGCAGCAGATAACAGTAGCTGAAATTTGTCCTTTGGCAGTCATTGCTTTCAAAATGTATAGCATTAGACTCTCCCATAATTACTTATGAATGTTGGCAGAGAAAGGAGTAAGATTTTGTTGCTATTTTATTTCTAAATTTAAATATATAGAGATTTGATTTGGCAGGTTTAAAAAAAATGTTTTAAATATATATATGTATAACTGAAGAATATTTGATTGCTCTCATAATCCACACAGTTTATGGGAATTGAGAGTTTCTCTGCAATTATTTTTCATTTGGTTAAATTACAGTTGTGACTTTTAAAATTATTGTTTTGATAAAGCTTTGATTTTTCTTGTACTTATTTAATAAAAATCAGACAACGTGAATATAAATGCATATGAGTTTAGTGGAGATTTCTGTGATATATCTGAAGGGCAGAACTATTTAAACTAAATTGAAGTACTACAAAACTAATCAGAAGCTGTAATATATGATGAATTTTCATTAAGAAAATGGCATCAAGATGTATAAATATTTACCGCACCTTATTTATGAAGGATCCTTGTACTGAAGTATTGAATCCTGTAGCATGTGAAGATGGCACAAAGGAAGGAAGGAAGGACATAAGAATTCACTCTTTCTGGCTTTCAAGCTGTCAAGTAGAATTAAGAAAAGAAAGGCTTTTTGAAATGTCTCAGTACATAAGCAATTCCTCTTAAAAAGAAATAACTTTTTTGTTGTTGTTTGCTCCTTTCTGTGTAGGATGGACGAAGACAACACAGCAGCAGCTATACTTATGCTCAGGTAAGTGAACGTAAAAAGAGGTAGAATGTTCCTGTAGACTTCACTAAAAACAAAGCCAGTACAACTTGGAAACAATTTATTTCCTCCTTATTAAATATATTTTTAAAGTACTTTGTAGGCTGTGAATATTTCTATTTCTTTGGTATTTGTTCATAAACTTGTCATCTACCCTAATGGTATGCTGTAATTACTAATGATGTTCAAATATTTTTGTTGGAAATACTAATAAATGCGTTTCCGTGTTTGATTAGTTTGAGCGAAATTACTGTATTCCACTCAATGTGTCCTCTAAAATCTGTGTATGAGTCATGGCAGTGAGGGTAACGTTTCAAGGCTCAGTCTCACAGTGTAAGTCCCATACTGCTAGATTCAGACTCTGCATATATAACAACTCAAATTTCCATCTAAAAGTTATGGAGGATGGTTGATTATTCATATCAAGGGTGACACAGAATCCTAAGTGCAGACATAGGATAACTATCAGCAATGAGACCTTTCAGCATTATTTAGAACGTGGAGGTAAAGCTACCTGTCTGTATGACAAATGGCTAAATTAACAAACGCTAACATAATAATAGCATATGTGGTTACAAGGTAACACATGGGAATATTTCCAGAGTGAACATAAGGGTTAAAGCTCTTTGACTACCTTTTCTTAGCCACAGAAATGCAAATATGTATCAGTATTCTTGCACTACATGGAACCAAGAAAATCTTTCACAAGGGTATGTATGACTTCTAGGGATCACGGCCGCAAGGAGGCCAGTACTCGACATCAGGAGAGGGCAGTTCCTATGGCCAGGAAAGCACCCATTGGTCGTGAGTCAGGAACTGATAACTGCACTGCCGAAAGACTTGTGGAGGGCAGTCCTTCTAGGACCCTTGCCTTTGATTTCATTTCAGGGTTGATCAGGCTGTAACCCTGACTAGTTTGTTTGACCTGTTGCTTTTATTTGCGTGGTTTTGCTTCCGTTTTATGAATCTCTGTTTTCCCTGGGGTTCTTCCTTACATACTTTTTTTTCTTATCTTACGTCTATATATCTATATAACTATATAAAAACATATCTATATATCTCTACATAAATATAGCTATATATGCCACCTTCAGTTTCACAAAGAGGAAGGGAATTGTATAACTGAGGCCCACCAAGAACGCAAATGTGAGACGTTAATAAGGTGCCTCAGACTGGCCTCCCGAGCCCAGTGTACGAGAAATAGCAGGCACGAGAAACGTAACCAGAAAATGTGGTGCTCCACCTACCTCCTGAAGCAGAAAAGCCTTTGTAAGTCTTGAGTCCTGTCTGAGACTGCTCTGTGATCGTTCAAATGTACCGAGCGGTCTAATGTGTGCAGTGTGTCAGGATACTCACCAGGAACAGGAAATGTCAACGTAATTCTAATTTGGTAGCAGGGTCAATAGCGTTCTTTGTCTTATTCTGTTTCTTTCCGCCACAAAGAGAGAGGCTCGAGAGAGGCACCTGCTTCACCAGTACAATAATTGTAAATTGGTCCTTTCTCTACTTACAGGGTTACCAGCCTCAAGGTGGCAGTTCCTATGGCCAGGTAAGCACCTCTCAGTCACCAGTCAGTACACAGCATTTAAGGAAGTGGAGGGTCATGGCGGCACCGTGAAAGTGCTATACAGTCACTCTGAGTTTGGAATTCAAAGGACGTTTTCTCTGAAAGCGTGTGTTCCCACGGTTTCGAGTAGTCCACGTGCTGTTTGTTTATTTGAAACCCCGGCGTCGGAAATCATCTTGCTCAGCATCAGAGTGGCTGTCGGGAGAAAAGCCTGGCTCTTCACTCTGCCGCGTGCAGCTGTAGGACATAGGAGCTTGCTTTTGCTAGAGCAGGCTGGTAGCTGATCAGTCCCTTGTGAAAGGGAAGTAACTGGACGGTGTCCTTGTCTTAGGGTGGGCCAAGTTACTCGGGGAGCAGCAGCAGCAGCTCTTATGGCCAGGTAAGCAAACCTGATCTTCAGTAGGGAGCTCTCCACTGATCTCCCTTGTGACCCGCACGGCTGGCAGATTTTTAGGAATGATTTGTTTCATTTGGTGTTCTGAGCCTCAGTTTGACTCGTGACCTTTGCTGTGGGTAGGACAATCTGTCCTGCGGATGATAGCGCGCTGCCCTGTCTCTTTTGACCCAGGAAGAGCGTTTGCACAAAGCACTTGT